AGGCTATACGTGACACAAATTAGCCAATGAGCTGCCAGTCAGGGTTGCTGCTGCTAGCTACTTTTAGACACAGCTGGCAAACCTGTGGCAAGCCGGGCGATGGGAAAGAAGGAGAAGATGATGAGAAAAAGAGAGCAGAGAAAGTGTGGACTGCTGGAAGAACTGTGGTGAACTAGTGAAAGAAAAGCGGTGTGCTCAAAGATGACCCTGCACGTTTTGAGTAGGTTTGGCTCAACCTGCTGCTGTGAAGCAGGATCCCCCACCATTACTATTTTAAAAAATAACTATCGATCCAGGCTCACGAATGAGCACCTTGATATGTGCTTAAGAATGGCTTTTGCCGCATTAAAAGCCAGGTTTAAAGCCTCGTAGGTCAGCCTAAAGCCCACTGCTCTCATTAAGCCATAAAAAAGAAAGAAAAGAAAAAAAACGGTTGGTTCTGGCGTTTTATAAAAGATGCGAATCAGGAAATTTTCTATATACCAAACTGAACGATTGTTATTATCTACTTAAAAAAAACACCAGAATGCAAAAATTTTATATATTTTTTTAAATATTTCTTTATTTAAAAATGTATAACACAGATGCATAAAAAGCTCATTTTATTTCAGTGTTAAATTCTGTTTAAAGTAACATCATAAATAAAAATGTCTCTTGACCTTAAAGGAATAGTACACCCAAAACATGATTAGCCTTCATTTTCTACTCACCCCCATGCTGAACAACACTCTGGAGTACTTTTTTGATATCTCAAATGCATCTGGAGATCTGGGAGGCTTCTTGCTGTCTGCTGACATTCAAATAATGGAGGTCTATGGCGCCCGAGGCAGAAAGGTCCATAAAAATCCACAAAAAACGTGTCAATATTCCTCCATACTGCTCGTCCAATGTATTCCAAGTGTCCTGAGTGGGTAGCATCCATAATTTACTCGAAACGAAGTCATTTAGAATGTTTTTAGAGCATAAACAGTAGTGTATAGGATTTCCTGAAAGCGCGCGCCCGCACGTTCACGATGCTACGGAAGCCGGCAGACCAAACCAGATGAAAGTGCGCATTCAGCGTCTGCTCTGCCAATAATGCAAGCGTAGAAGAAGAAATTTGCTGTTTACCTGTGCAAAGAAAGAAACAACGAAAGAAAAATGTCTGAGGACTTCAGTGTTGAGGAAGAGCATGAGTTCTTTGCCGAGCTGAATGCGCACTTTCATCTGGTTTGGTCTGCCGCGGTTTCCGTAGACTCGTGAGCTCGCAGGCGCACGCTTTCAGGAAATCCTATACACTACTGTTAATGCTCTAAAAACATTCTAAATGACTTCGTTTCGAGTAAATTATGGACGCTACCCACTCAGGACACTTGGAATACATTGGACGAGCAGTATGGAGGAATATTGACACCTTTTTTGTGGACTTTTATGGACCTTTCTGCCTCGGGCGCCATAGACCTCCATTATTTGAATGTCAGCAGACAGCAAGAAGCCTCCCAGATGTCCAGATGCATTTGAGATATCAAAAAAGTACTCCAGAGTGTTGTTCAGCATGGGGGTGAGTAGAAAATGAAGGCTAATCATGTTTTGGGTGTACTATTCCTTTAACTGGTTGTTGATTTTCTTTATTCAGACCCCGCTGATTTTTATTTGGTTACCCCTGCTCTAGGACCTTCATGGTTTAGGAAGTCACAGTAACAGGTCAATAGTCATGAAGGACTGTTGGCTGAATTTTCGTTGATACTGGAAAAAAAGGAAGGAGGTCTTGCACAAGACTTGCATTATGTCCTGAGTCAGGCTAAGTTGGTGTGGACCTGGTGACAGTTGTCTCTTCACTTGACTTCTAGAGACAGACAAAGGGAGTGGCACCATCTTCTGAACCATCATTCTTCAACTCTGTTGAAGAATCTATTCAGTTCGTTGGCTCTGTCCAGACGTCCATCTGTCTGATCTTCCTTCTGCTTGAAGCCTGTGATCTTCTTCATCTCTGAACATACATCTCAGTCATTGATCTATTGGAGCTTGCTATCCATGTTTTTCCTGTAAGTCTCATTGCTTTCTCTTATTTTTACTTTAAGTTGCTTTCAAATAGAATGAAGAGATTGATATCTTTTTTTTTTTTTTTTTTTGCGTATCAATGTTTTATTGTATTCTTTAGAGTATGTGAAGTTTAACCTCTAGGCTTATTAACGGGGATAAAGGATAGTTTCAACCAGTGTCTGATTGACCGATGTAATACATTACATAAACATTGGACCATATGGTTTATTATTAGAAGGCCGAGTTGCCTTGTGATGGACTGGGAACTTTTCCAGGGCATTTTCTTAAAGATTTCAGTAATTTTCCCAAGGAAAGGACTGCCCGGGTTGATGTCAACCATTAAATAAATGTGACTTTACCTCAAGTGTGAAGTTTGATGGAGTTAAACCTTTGAGACTACCAAATGTAACATGCTTTGAGGGGACTATAAAAGGCATAATAAAACCAAAGTAAATTTCTTTAAGGATGCCTATATGAAAGAAACTGCCAAATAATCAAAGGAATATAATTGAATTAAAAAAGGAACCAAGAGATCGTATAGAAAGTTGCTTCTCAGTATAGTTGTTAGTTTTACATGTTTCCCTGTTTGCTAAGGCAAGATTTGAAGGTCCTTACATACATTTCATTTTCAAACAATAATGGTGGGCACACTCAGATTTAGCAGGCCTACTGTGTGCTGAGCAAATGGTAACTGGCCTGTGCAAATATAGTCAGGAGACTTGACCAAAGCGCTTTACAATACATTCACTCTTTCACCCATTCATGCACACACTCACACACTTACGGTGGCAAACTACATTGTAGCCACAGCTGATCTGGGGATCACTGACAGAAGCGAGGCTGCCGTACACCGATTCCACCTCTGAGAACCATCAGAGGTAAGGTCTTCAAATTTAAATCACTCACCTTCATAATTCTTTATGTCTTGTGTACATTTTGAAATCCTGCATATTGATCATCATTATGACATCACTTCCACTTTCACAAAACATACCGAAATGGCAAAAAAGCACATTATTTGCACCTATTAGTGTTTTGTTAAAGGCAATCTTGGATTGAGTTTTTGTTGAGCTGAAATCTGCCGACAACTGAGTTGGGCGGGGAAATTATCAGCTTTTTAAATATAATCGCAATAAAAAAGGCAATTTTTGAAATGCAGAAGGTCTCAGTTTTAGTAATGTTACTTTAAACTAGAGTAAGAGGCCAACTTTTCCACACTAGCCCTTCAGGTGGCCATAATATTCTTAAAGGGGATTTGGCTTAGGGTTAGAAAGAGCTGCATCTAGCGCAGTGCACTATGCATGCTAGTAGATCTCAGTTCTTTTCCTCACAGCAGTAGTAGTAAAGATTTGTAATAATGGAAAAGAAAACAATAAGACTATGGAGAGAAACATCTACAGCCTGTGCTGAGTTTGAAGGGGAAAAATATTTATTAAATCTCAATATAGGTTGAAACAATTTCAATTTAGATTTTTAGCAAAATTCTTCAGCCCTGCAACTGAGCTACCTGAAATATCGTTAAATTTTTTGCACACAGTCCTGATGCATATCCAAAGTGATCTCTTGGTCCTATTCCCTGCAAACACCTACATAATGAGGCAGTCATTATACGACTCTTTCATTTCCTAAACTCAAAACTGGGGAAGCTGTTGGCTGAATAGTTGACCATTTATTTTATTTTATCAATTGGAAGATCTCTGAGTCACTTGTCTTTTTTGCAACCTGCTTTCTTTCATTTACCCCTTTTCTACTGGCCGAAAAAAACTGTTTAAACCCAAAAATAATCGGCTTTTAGTGGCAGTGGAAACAGCTCATTGACGGGTCTCTACCCGGGTCAAATAAATCGGCAAGTTATCCGCGTTAAAATTGCCTCGGCTCTGATCTGCATGCTATGGGAACACCATTTAATGCAACTTTCAGACGTCATCACACTGTGCCAGTTGCGTCTGATCTAACAAGCCGAAAAAAACTCTGCTTACATTTCTTAAACAGTAAAGGACACCTACTATGCCCTGGCTTCCTTGTTGAAAACAAGGAAGCCAGGGCATAGTAAAAAAAGTAAAAAAATGTTTACTATTGAAAAGTAAACAATGTTTTCCATTGTTTACTTTTCTGATTTCTGACGCAGTGGTGACATCATCAACGCTAACCCAGCATGGTGGTGTCACAAGACACACAGCGGCGGGGGGGGGCACATGCCACGCAGATTGCCAGCTGGGAGTTAGAACCAGTTTCTTTTGCCAGTGGGAAGGGAGCCAAATGTCGATTGTTAGCAGAGTTGATCCATGTTTGAAAAACACACGTAAACCCGCCATCTTCAGTGGGAAAGAGGCTTTAGTCTCCTTTATGGCAGTTCTTGTTATGTCAGACCACATTTTGCCGTAGCAACACAAATAAACACGACTAAGGAGGTGAAACAATGCCACCAATACCATACTAGTTAGCAGTGATTCCTGCTGAAAACTAAAACACTATGTGCAACATTGTGATCAGGAGAAACACAACTTAGAAAGTTCAACATGAAATAAGCTGTAATCTAAAACATAAACACACTTTGGGTTGTGATTTTATCCGTCAGGCAATAGAGGGTAAATCATAAATCATCACCAACACAAGAATCAGCCTTAAATTAGAGATAATGTCGTGAACAGTTCAATAGTGCATCAGAAAATAAGATTTGCCATTGGTACTATGGTAGAACAAGCACATGTGCTTTATTATCAGCGGGCAGCAGAAAAAAAAAATATATTTCTTTCATGTAATAAGCAGACACCACTGCTTGCTGCCAAAAGCTCCCTAATCAGTCCCTGAAACACAGCATTGCCGCTACGTTGTTGATTAATTGTCTAGGAAACAACAAGACAATGTAAAATTGTAATGAATTAGATATTTTATTCATTTAAAATGTATAACTGTATCTGTAGAACACAATTATAAATAAATAAGTGAGAAGGTTTTTTTGTCTTTTTCCTTCTTACCTCAGTCCCTGATGGTGTCGCCCCCGGTGAGTCCAGTTTGCGTTTTTTTCGAGGTCCAATCGCAGCTAGCGCTGTCAGGTTTGCATCCCGTTGTCTCATCTGGGCCAGCTCTTGCTGTTGCATCTAAACAGAACATAAGGAATAGAAATGTAACAATATGCATAGAGGAAAGTGACTGAGGTGTTATGGTGACTAGGGATGAGTATTGGCTTGGGTGATGCGATAGGATGTCACAATACTTGGGTTAAAAAACAATATTATCACGACATTGCAATACCAATATATAGTGCAGCTCCACATTACTTATTATGGCAAACAGCTTGACAGCCCAGCATGTCTACTGCTAGTATTGGTCTGTGCTAATCAGACTTATCTTCTGGTATTTCTGATGTTCTTTTTGCAAAGTGCTTGAGTTTGATGAACTAACAAAGGAAGACTTGGACAACAAAAACTCAACTGTGGCCACTGGGACATAACAAACAAGTCTGTAAATCAGCCACATCCACTTCAAATTTAAAGCAACACATCGAGTTAAATTAACTATCTTGAAAAATATCTGCTACTGAAATCAGGAACGTCAGAAATCATTTTGTTTCATATATTATGATCATAGATTAAAGGCGGAAAATCTGAGGTTCTATTGTGAAGAATTGTGACTTAATTTACCAAATCAACTTGGGGTAGTTAATTTATAGGTTTGTTAGTGGTAGGATTCCAGTTTGTGTGGGTTGTTTATTGTGTTTCCTCTCTCCACCACCAGGGCGGTGCCCTGTCCTTGTTGGGCCTCCCTTCACACCTGCGGCTCGTTGGGTCATTACCAGAGGAGTACTTGAGCAGCAGGCTGTCACCACCTCGACGCCAGAGTTTTTGCCAGTATTGGGTACTCTAGCCAACAGAGATTAGCTGAGTCTAAAGTTAGGATTGTTTGTCAGAGTCTGAACTTTTTTTTTGTCTTTGTTCTTCGGCAGGAACACTTCCTGTGTTGCTGGATAAGCCTGGACCTTCTACCCCTGGAAGTATTTACTGAGTTTCACTGAGCAGGGGGAAAACATCCCCATTATCCGTTCAAGTCCACCCCTGGAAAATCAAGTGACAGTCCGCTCCTTTACTCCTCTGGGTCCAACGTATGTCTGCCTGTCTGCTCTCCAACGAGTTCCGTCTTCTCTGGATTAAACCCCCACACACCGGATCCAAGGATAAACCAAGAGCCCCCCAAAAGTGAGTGCCTCTCCAGCAATATTCAAGCCTCAGTCTATTTTCCCACTGTCCCTGAACTGATCACTGTGACCTCTCCTTCAGAGGTTCCGGTTCACCAGTCCGCTGAGTTCCAGCAGAGTTTCAATCTCCATCAGTGTTTGCTAACCTACAATAAACCTGTTAAACTTTTACCCTTGGTGTCTGAGTGGTTCTCTGCATGTGGGTCAGATCTTTAAAGCCCATTTTGACAGTTAGTTCATTAAAAAAAACTGAAATATGAACGTGAGCTAGTTCATTTTTTCTCTGTGTGAACTGAGCGTTGAGTTTGTTCTTTTTTATTATGGACTCGTACAACATTGCCCCTAATGGTGACACCATGCCAAATGCTAAGTGGGACAAGATAAGTAAGCAGTACAGCAAAGCAACATGAAGTGCACCCACATTTTGACTCAAAGGTCTATTAACAAGAACCCTAAATGTGGAATTTGAGATTCAACTTTATGAACTTTCACAAAACATGCAACCCACTATTTTCAAAGTAACTCAATGAATATCAAAACGGAGGCAGAACCAGGTAATTAAAAGGAAGAAAATAAAACCGTGTGACTAAGGTTCTATTCTCTGGGGCGGTATGAGCAGAACGCTTTCCTGAGCAGAACAAAATGGAAGACTGTTGTCAGCCATTAACAGAGCACAAAGATGGTGTGTGTGCAGTCACATGGCCCTGCTCTTTTTGATTTTTGCAGTTTGTGATGTTTAAGTGGGTGGTTGGGAGGGGCAGCGCCTAAGGTAATGTCATGTTTAGCCGCAGGGGCTGTAGGCGGACCCAGCGTCGCTAGGAGCTGCCCTTTCCATTGGGTGGAGGTGTGATGGCCTGAGGCAAAGGCACGGAGGGTGCCAGAGCGAACACACATACACGTGCCTATCAATCCCGGCCACAGCAGCACAGGGAATGCCTACCCACCAGCTCGCCTGTGTGCCTGCCTGCTGGGGGAGAGAGGCCTGGGTTTGGAGCGAACAGGGACAATCAATTGTGCGCCTTGATGTCTTTCATGTTCTTTTATGTTATCTCCCAGCATGTGTTCGCTGGGCTCTGGTGTTTGTGTGAGGCATGTATATTGTCTGATCAGTGAAAGAAAAAAAAAAAACTCATGTTGCTTTCAGATGGCGCTGTGTAAAAGGTTGCCTTGGTGCACACGGTCTGATCTAAAATGTGCATGCACTTGCCTCTGATTTTTTTTTCTTAAAACCCTGCTGGCAAGGCATGCCCTTTAGGGTGTTGCCACTTCACATTTAGCACGGCGGAACTGCTGAAAGATCCAAACACGCTGACAAAGAAGGGGAAATAATAGCAGCTGAATACATAAACCTTGTTTACTTACCCATTTTAGATTAGATTGCTGTAGAAACGAGGATATGTGAGAATATTAATTGAAAAATAACGTCATGGATAACTTTAGAAAAGATATATCTATTATTGAGGGGTAAAAAGAAGGTGTTTTTCTTCTGATCCTTTTTGCTATGTATCTGTATATTAAAGAAAAAGAGTGACAAAGCAGATGTGAGACAGTGATCAATCTTTGGTCCCAATCTTGTCACTACAGATAATATTGAGCTTCGCCTGAAGAATCAGACCCGTCTCTTCAGGCCTGACCTTAAAGAATCCCGTTGCAATGCAAAGAGAGACAGAGCAGGAGAGGTTCACTATCTCCCTGATGGCACCAGGATGCCGGCATCTCTGGCTGGCAGTTGGCACCAGGCATGGGCTCCCAGCGCCCACAGCAACTCCCAGCAATTTCAGATTTATGACTGTATGTTAAATGAAAACTTCGTTTTGCCATCTGCGAGCCTGCGATTCCCGTAAGTGAAGTGGACGCCATGACACTGTGAGACAGATTTCTGATTTCAATCTGGTGCCGTGAAGCAGAACCTGCTTTCTTCTCCACCATTTGGTTAAATATGTTCTCTTCTATGCTACCAAGCAGGGCTGAAACCTTGAATCTGATTAATCATGATTAGGCATAGTGAAATATGTTTACAATATGTTGAATTGAAAAAATTCAACGTTTATTTGGTTCAATTATGTCTGTTTATGTTCAGCTAAATTTATTAGGTTTATTCATCAAAGCTATGTATTTTGTTTTTTGTTGCCCTACAGCTGATTTTTGCACATTGCTGTCATTGCAATTGGAACCAAAATATATAAACAATGTGGCAGTTTTACTGAAAAAAAAAACTGTATGCTAGTTTATTTTATTACTTTTAGAAACACAGAAGGATACTGTAAACAGCAACAACTGCAGTGTTGTTCTAGTAAAAGTTTAAACGATGTGATCATATACCTTTTGATTACAGTAATAGATTTTATTGGCAGAATTACAGAATAAATGTAAAAAAATATATGTAAACATTTATTTCAACGAAAATGTGCATAATAGCCATAGAGATCAGTGGTCAAAGCCTGCAACACGTGTCTCAGCGCGGCGCGGTGCCAGGCAAAGAAAGCGGCGGGTGTCTATTGAGCAATGGATCCCAAAAGGGAAAAAAAGAAAGATACCTACGGTGGCCCTGAAGTGCAAACTGCAACTACAAATCTAAAAGCGCAACTATATTAAGGAAATCGCAACTACATTAAGAAAAACAAAACTACATAAAGCAAAGCACAACTACATTAAGAAAAACACAATTACATTAACCTACCGGAAAAGGTAGGTACCATTGGGAAACATGAGACATCGCTGATTGGACGACGGCGCCGTTTGACCTTTGAACCGGAAGTCATTCTGCCTGCTGCGGCTTTTGAAAACATGGATATTGTCGGCGCCCCAAACATAGCTGCCGTTATCCAGGAATATTTTGAATCAGGACATACGTACGAGGTGATACTGGATATGCTCAAGACTAATCTCAGTTAGTTTGCGTACACTGAAGACACACTTAAAAGAAGCTGGACTGTTCAGACGACGCAACTTCCGGTTCAAGGGTCAAACGGCGCCGTCGTCCAATCAGCGATGTCTCATGTTTCCCACTGGTACCTACCTTTTCCAGTAGGTTAATGTAATTGTGTTTTCCTTAATGTAGTTGCGCTTTGCTTTATGTAGTTTTGTTTTTCTTAATGTAGTTGCGCTTTTAGATTTGTAGTTACAGTTTGCACTTCAGGGCCACCGTAGATACCTGATGAGAACAGGGGACTCAAAGAAGAATGGACCAAATCATTTCATTATCACTGGGGAAGGATTGCCTGCATTTTTTGCTTTGGCACGAGAATGTGTCAAATATTAAAAATTGTAATTTGGAAAGGAATTTCCAGGGAAGGCTAAATATGTAGCCGATCATAAAGTTGTAAGTGAGAGAAAAAGTGCGATTGCAGAACTGGATAAATTAGAGGAGAGCAAAGATAGATTTAAGAAATGAATTGCATCTCCAAACTCCAAACTCCTGCTGCTAGTTTTGTTTCAAGCATGAAAAAAACGTCCACAGATCAAACAGGTAGCGCTATTCTGCAGGTATGTGATTTTTTTTTTTTTTTTTTTCCCCAAATCCTAAAAATATAAATCACACCAAGGAACAATGGTGACAGAGGATGTGGGATTTCAGGGTTAGAGAGCGCTGCTCTCATGGATGTCAGTTCCTGCTTGGTTCCTCATGACTCAATCAAGTCCTCCCAAAAGAAACATGTCCACCATAGAAAGACACCTTTATCACATTTCTATAATTTCATTAATGCAACAAAACCTAGACTGCGCAGTGAAGGGTGGTGAAGCGGCGCGCAGTGAGAGCATTCACTGCTTCTCCCTCATCTAATGCTGCTATGTGACATTTGCTCCAGATAAACATTTAATCTTAAATGCTTATTATATATTTTAGCCCACATAGTCCTTTTTTATAGTGGCCTAATACACTTAGAGCCCTTGTTGCCAAACGAG